TTTGAGACCCTCAGATAGAAGCCAGTGCATAGTGTAAACACAAAGTGTTATTCAAATCTAAAAAATAAATGCTGTGAAAGGGGCTGATCAGACATGCAGACAGTAGTAACAGTTCTCCTGCTGCTCTGCTAATCTACCACAAGGCAAAATCCAACATTCCATCTCACTTCTCCTCCTTTGCGTCCTCCAGACCAACACCCCACACCCCTCTGAAAGGTTACAAACAAGTTACTGTTTCATCCAGTAAGTACTCTAGTGTATAGATAGGGCCCAGCCTCTGGAAAGGAATGCAACTGTCAACACACCAGGACATTGTTACTAAAGGGGTGTGGTATTTACCTACAGGAAAGCCACATCCTTAAGCAATTGCTTTGCTTAATAACCCACCACTTTAAGGTCCTCATTGTGTGAGTTTTCCAAACCACTGTATTAAAAGCAGGGTGGATAAAAATCAATGATTTAAGAAAAAAAAATTTTTTTAAATCTGCTTTTTTTAATTTAAATCAGATTTTTTTTTTATAAAATGCCTTTTGAGGAAAAACCTATCAAAAGATAGTTTTAATTAAGATATATTATAGCTCAAAAGATATCTCATCATGGAATAGGGATTATAAATTCTAATTCTATAGTGTGAGACAATATATTCATGTAATGTTTAAGAAAAGTTTATGGGGTTCCAGGAGCTTCTGTATAGATTATTTAGGTTAATCTTTCTATCTACCCAATGGGACTCAGTGCTCAGTCTAGAAGATGCTTAGTATTGCAGTTCTCAAACTGTGAATTTATGTCTCCAAAGATAACATGCTTGTTAACAGCAAAAATGTTTTTAAATAAAATAAAATTAAATAAATAAATAAATTAGAGAGAGAGAGAGGTGAGAAATAACAGACAACCCTATTGTCCCTCTGCAAATTTGTGTACACAGAGTCAATCCCTTACCTCTCTCTAAAGTGAAAAGTTTCAAAAAGTTAAATGAATAGAAGATTGTTGGGGGCACAATAGATCTGGATAAGGAGAAGAAGTCTGGAGATAAGTGTGAGAAGGGAGGGACAGGCAGTAAAAACAAAAGTGAAAATGTTGGTGCATCATATTCCAGAAGTCTTGAGGTCTTTCTGAGTCTAGTCTTCATTGATTTGAGTTCTACCATACCATTCTCTTACTAGAAGGGAAAACCTATAATGGCAGCAGGCCATAAAGGAGACCCAGTTTGGGAATAAGAACCATTCAAGAAATGGATGTTTGCTGATGATGATTTAAAGAAAGTCACACCAGTGAAGTGGTGGAAGTCACTTAAGCACTTGGATTCAGAGACTGTTGAAGTGATAATCTCACTTTTAACAGCAGTAGCTTCTTCTGCCGGTGTAGAAAGAATATTTTCTTCCTTTGGACTAATTCATTCCAAATTGAGAAATTGCTTGGGACCTGAAAAAGTAGGAAATCTTGTTTTTCTTTTCCAGATTATGAACAAACAGGAAAATGAAGGTGAAGACAACTGAGTTAGCTGCAGAAGTCAATATTTTAAGATTTTCATGTTGACCTGGCTGACATAGTCAATTTAATTTTTTTTTTAATTTTCATTTAACTATTTTAGTTAAAAACAATTTTAACAAAAACAAACCTGATTTTAAAAAACGTGAATGTTTAACTAAATTCAAAATTTCATATGCTTGTTTTGTTAAAGTATTATATATTTGCTGTTGAAGAAAAAAATCCAGAATACATAACATTGTTGTTTTAGTTAAATACAACAATTTAAATGTCTGTCTGGTGATGTTCTCCTCCTAATACAGAATGGCAAGGAAATCCTCCAAATATTAATGATTAACCTGTTGAATTGGAGATAGTTCACCTCCCAATGACTTCATAAATATCTGCTTCAATTACCTTTGGTAAATGAAATAACCAAACTATCATTCATTTTCTGATATAGCTGTAAAACTAACCTGAAAAGTTTTCCAAATAAATCACTTTAAAAATGTATAGTGTGTACCTTCTAAAAAATGAAACCTACATCTATCTCTGAGTTGTGAAGAATATGTATTAAGGTTAAAACAACCATTGCCCCTATAAGGAGTCAATATTCAACCGTTTGTTACTTTAACTGGAGCTACACAAAAGTTCAGTTTAAACTCAGCACTGGATTGGTTTAGATTAGAGATAAAACAAAAACAAAAGAAGATAGGATTTTAAGTGAATTCAAGAATGAGAAAAGTTAGAAACCATTACAAGAAATAAAAGTGAAAACATGCATCCAAAAGTCTAAAACTTAATCAAACACGTTTTGGTTCAAGCTTTCTTTAGGTTGGCCTTTCTCATCCACAGTCTTCCAGGAAGATGGTAACTGACCCTTTCCTTAGTCAGGATCTCTCCCAGAGGCCCAAAGGTGCTGGTCCCTTTGTCTTCTTAGGTGAAAGAGAGCACTTAGGGTTCTCTGTCCCCACCCCACCCCCCTTTTTTTTTATAATCTAGTGAACCTCAGAAGTGGATTCTTCTGAGGGTTACCCTTCAACGCCAAGTTTATTCAAGCAGTAAAGAAGGTGACATGGAGTCTGCTGGTGAAGGAGGCTCCATGTTCTCTCTACTCACCTGTGTTTGCTGAAATGCAAATTTGCCTTCCCTCCTGCTATATCCTCCTCCTGCTGTCTTGTGGACCCTATTTACTACTTACACGTAAACTGAGGTAAACGCGCATTCCTTTGTTTAGGATAGACCTGTTTAACAACTTTTGCCTTGGCAGGGCTGTGTGGTTTTGAACATGTGCTAAGAGCATTATACGGGGGATTTCATACCTTTGCATATAATGTTGCTACATACATTTCACCATAATGTTATTGGCCAGTGAGTCACTAGCATTCAGATGATATCTCAACAAGGCATATTTTGTATAAAGATTATTACAGTGGTGCGTAGGGTGTGATACAGGGGAGCTTTTGGTCACGTACCCCCAAGGCAGTGTTCGGCCTGTTAGTGAAACAGTGTAGGAAACATATAGGATAGAAGGATTCCCCTCTTGCCCCAGATCCACTATGGTCAGGGCTAGGTTCTGTTAACGGACTAGCATAGGAAAGAGAGGCTGAATTCCCTCCTAACCCCAGCAAATCAGGGATTATTTAAAATGTTCCCTTCCAGACAATAGTCTTGATGCAAGGGGTTAATTCAGACCTGACATAAGTGGCTGGGAGTCAGCTGAAGTCAAAGAAATCACACCTGCTTGCATCAGATTTAAATTGACCCAAAGTGTCTGGTTTCAGAGTAACAGCCATGTTAGTCTGTATTCGCAAAAAGAAAAAGAGTACTTGTGGCACCTTAGAGACTAACCAATTTATCTGAGCATAAGCTTTCATGAGCTACAGCTTTATTTGAGCTTATGCTCAAATAAACTGGTTAGTCTCTAAGGTGCCACAAGTACTCCTTTTCTTTTTCCAGTGTCTGGGTTTCTAAGATATGGTGGGTGTGTATGCTGCTGTTTGTGTGTTGTGATGAGTAGTACTTTCTCTGCCCTCTAGGTAAACAAAGCGTTTTACCATCAAGATCCTGGGGATCCCTCACCTTTTACAAACACAAACGTCAATTGCAAATTATTAAGAAAATCTGTTTACCCTGCTAAGAAAGTAAACACATGCAGCTTACACGTGGTTACTACCTGTCATTCTGTACCTCACCCTTGCAATAAAATAGACAGACACAAAAACACACTTTACTACCATGGGCTCCTGGCAGCAGAATTGCAAGCCAAACTTAGTGTGCCTTGCGGAACCACACAACCTAGTTGAAAATTTGGAATGAGCAGCAGCCTTGCTTGCCAGACTGGAAATAGATAGGAGAATCCAACAGTGACCAACAACAATACTCCAAAGCAGAGCAGCTGAGGATAGGGAAAGTAAGGCAACCTATAAGATGTCACTGCAGATGGATTATGGTTCATGGTGCATGCAGGGAATTAGCAGTTCACCCAGGCTACTTCACAAGCCAAGATTGAATCCGCTGCCCTGTCTGTATTATTTTTAAAAAGAAAAGGAGTACTTGTGGCACCTTAGAGACTGACAAATTTATATGAGCATAAGCTTTTGTGAGCTACAGCTCACTTCATCGGATGCCTTGTTACTGAGTGCGACATACAAATAAAATAATTTGCTTGACTTCATTCATTCCATGCCATCCCACCTCCTATACAGCCCACCCCCTGGCTCCTCTCAGGCAGAATTGCTAAGTCTGGTCTCACAATTTGAGGGCTCAAATCAAGACTGGGAACACAGTGCTTAAATATTTCTGTGATGAGTGGGGAATAAATTCTAGACAGACAGAGGCTGAAGGAAGAGTCAAGGAGAAAGAATGGAAATTAAATCATGAATTATTTCCCACTCCAGTCTGGCTGCCAGAGTGGGAGAAAATGTATCATCTGACCCTAGAGTGGGAGTCTGGGCCCAGGTGGGACTTGGCAAGCCAGTGCAGGATCACTGGGATCCTAAAAGTATGTGGCTTTCCCCAGTCTCTGGTCCTCCGGTTGGAGGGGGAAAGTCAGGCCTTCCCCCTTTGGTCCTGCCGTGATTCTTGTGGAATCAAGTCATGAGTTGGTGAGGCTGGCATAGGCCCCTAAAGCACAGGGCCCCAAGCAGTCATTTGCATTGCTTGTGCCTAAAAGCCACCCTGACTGATAGGCTGGAGAAATTGTCACAGACAGGCTCTCTGAAAGCATTTATAAAAGGTTTTATTATCTTGTCTGCAGAATCCTGCTAGGACATCCCAGTGCCTGGAGTAACAGCAGGAGAGGGCACAAGGGCACCAGCGATTTCCTCCTCCAGAGTCCTCTCCTGCAGGTTTTACCACAGGAAAGGATGATCTGGCCCGAAGCAAGGACTACAGAGTTAGTCATTTAATGTAATTTTATTAATCTGTTTGGATTTGTACGAAGAAGGTAAAAGAGGTGTTTATCCCCGGACTTCAGGTGCTCTTCCCAAACAGTGAACAACCAAAGTAGATCACTTACAAAACCAGCATACCTGATGCCCAGCATTTTGCACTGTGTTAAGCTGATAGTTGGAAAGGTTGCCTTGTTTCTGCAGACTGAAGTCTCCTCTGACTAGAGCTGACCCATTGTGGAACCAGTATCTGTTTCCTTCCAGGACTTCTGTGGCTTGAAAAGGCAGGGAGTCAGAATCATGCTGGATCAGGAGCCCCTAGCAGGCAATGCTTATCGTGAATACAAAACTCAGGTCAAGTGCACGCCCATTTACCCCACCCAAGGCTTCAGGCTGAGCTGACTGATCTCTGCATCTAAATCAGATATGGGCAAACTACAGCCTGGGAGCCACATCCGGCCCTTCTGACTTTTTAATCTGGCCCTCGAGTTCCTGCCGGGGAGCAGGGTCCGGTGCTTGCCCCGCTCCATGCATGCCATGGCTCTGCTCGGCTCCTGGAAGCAGCAGCATGCCCCCCCTCCGGCTCCTACGCATAGGGGCAGCCAGGGGGCTCCCACAGGTCCCATTGGCTGGCAACCATGAGCCAGAGGGGGGACATGCCACTACTTCCAGGAGCTGCTTGAGGGAGCCTGCACCCCTGACTCCCTCCAACTCCCCAACCCCCTGCCCCAGCCCTGATCCTGCACCCTGAACTCACTTCTGGACCCACCCCAGAGCCCACACCCCCAGCCAGAGCCCTCACCCCCTCCCACACCCCAACCCCCAATTTTGTGAGCATTCATGGCCCACCATACAATTTCCATAACCAGATGTGGCCTTTGGGCCAAAAAGTTTGCCCACCCTGATCTAAATGAATAATGCTACTAGTAACACTGAACACATACACAGGGATTTATATCTTTTCCCAGCGTTTGGAAGAAGTGCCAGAAATGTGGATCCAAATCTGAACTGCCCCAAAGCTTGAGAAGGTTCAGATCCATTGTTCCAGGTCCAATTGATCTCAGAGAGTCTGGGTTTAGACCCACAAAGTCTGGATCCCAATCTAGGAGTTGTGTCCCTGACCATCTTGGCTAATCGCCACACAGTTTACTATATGACTTGCCCAAGGCCACAGAGTCAGTCAATGTAAGCTTTTATTAAAGAGCTTTCTTTAATTAAAATCAGGGTGGGGCGTGGGGGAGAGAATATTCCTTTTTATACCTTTGTAGCCTGACTTCCTCTTTTTATTCCGTACTTTTGCTTAATCAGGCATAATTACTGTTAATCCCTATACTTTGTATTGGGAATACTGCAAATGGAGCCTGACCTAAATCCCCACTTACAGCAATGGGAGTCTATCAATTGACTTCACTGGGAACTGGATTGAGCCAATACTCAGGATACAATAATAGCTTGCAAGCAGCAAATTTGACAATTTTTATAGTGACCACTCTAGGCAAAGCAATTAATCTTCAACGTACATTAATGGGAAAGGCAAGTTTTAGGTTTTAGAACTGGAAAAGAACATACATTTGATTAAAGGAAGAGTAAATCAGACTAAAATTTGTTTATTTCTGTTCAAGTAACTAAAGTGCTAGCCAAACCAACCTTCAAATTTCAAACTTGTATTTTAAAAATGTCCCAGTTCTCAAAATAAGACCAGAAAATTTCAGCTTGAAAAAACCTTATATTTTCTTTAAACGTATGCTTGAAAATAGAGGTCCCTATTCACCTAAACTAGAATACTGTCTCCTATATAAACACCCCAGAACTTTAATAACTAAAGAGTCCTCAGGAGCAAAAATGTCATAAAACAGAAAAAACTTTAAATCTATTCCCATTTTCTCTCTGACTTTTGTTTGTTTCATTTTCAGTCACATCTGAAGTGAAGTAGAAGAAGAAAAGAAGATCTCCAGTAATAATGCCTCACCTGTGCCTATCATATAAGGAACAGCAAAGCACTGTACATTCATTAAGTTCATAGCATCTCTGTGATTTAAAGATCATCATACTCATTTTACAGAGATTATGGGCCTGAGGCATACACTGAGTCAGTTTCAGAGTTGGGGAAAGAACCTAGGAGTCTTGAGACTCCCAGTGTTCTGGTCTGACCATTGGACATTCCAAATGTAGAGGATACTGAGTATATTGTAGCCAGCTGTCTATTTTATTATAGGTGGGCTGGTAGCACTACCTATTATCAAGGCTGTCCTTGATAATCCTTAGATCTTTTAGATTTGCTGAATCCAGGTCACTGAGTGCCCTGAAAACGAGGACTGAGCCCTTGACCCAGTGTGCTGTGGGAAGCCAGCATGGAGAGTGGAGGACAAGTTTGACGTGTTGCTGAGAAAGATGCTGCAGCATTCTGTACTAACTGAAGTTTCCTAAGGGCTGATGGCTTCATGCCCAGGTATATTTACATTGCTATAGGCCAGACAGGAGGTGACAAAGACATGTATAACTCAGACCAGGTCATCATCCACCGAAGCAGGACAGGGTGTCCTAACCCTCAAGAGTTGGTAGAAAGCATTACTTACAGATGCTACTATGTGAGCACTTCGCACCAGAGAGGAACTCAGCAGCACTCCTAAACTATGGACTCTATTGCCCTTCCACCAACAGAGACTGTACCATGGCTGCAAACGCTTCAAAGTGCTTTGCCTACCAGCATCACCTCAGTCTTACTCAGGTTCAGCTTCAACCAGTTATTCACCAGAGAACTGATCTCATCCAAGCACTGAATCTTGGTGGTAGGGGTAAGGTTGTAGGCAATGAAGGATATGTAGAGCAGTGTGTTATCTGTTGCTGACATCTGAGTCCATGTCATCTGACCAGTTCCTCCAGTGGCTACATATTAGATGTTGAAAAGGACAGAAGAGAGAACTGATCCTTGTGGGACTAATGCAAGGAAGGGGACTAGTGGTAGAGGTGCAGCTTCCCATCACCACTGCTGGGTACATCCTTCCGGAAGGATGTAAACAATTTTAGTGCATTCCCCTGGATCCCTGCCACCTCTCTCAGGTGAGACAGCAGTATTTTATCCTCAACAGTGTTGAATGCTGCACAGAGGTCCAGGAGGATGAAAATGGACTTCTATCCACCATCCATTGACAGCAGGAGATCATCAATCAGTGCCACTAAAGCAGTTTCTGTCCCCCATCATGGCCTGAATCCAGATTCTGCTGGGTCTCCAGTGTCAGCTTCAGTTAGATTAGCTTGCAGTTGGCCTTCAGCTAGCTTCTCTATAAAAGCTTGCTCAGGAATAGAAGGTTTGATACCACGAGGTAGTTGGCTAGAACTGATGTATCCAGGATGGGTTTCTTCAGTGTTTGATGTAGGAAGGGAAGATTCTGCCCCTACTGTAACGTTCAGTTTATTGTGCAAAAAGAAGCAGCTGCTTTCCATGTTTTATCCCAATAGCATTCCCCATTAGTGTCAGGACAAATCAGATTTACATAGGAAGCGATATACAAGCCGAGTGAATAAAATCACTAGAAAGTTACTGGATGGGTAGCTAGCCCAGAGTCTTCACTATGTTGTTCCTACTGCTCGTAGATAAATGCAAGATGAAAGGATGAAGACTAACTCCTGCTCACCAAAAGTTCTCCCCCTCCCCAAATGGTGTTACTATATGAACATGCAATACCTTTCTGTCTGCTGTGTACCTGTTAGAAGGGACACTGTTGATAGGATAAGGGTAAAAAGGGCTGCTCACAATAACTGAAATCAAAATCGACCCTACCTGAGCTTCACCATGTAACAGGCTGATAGGTTGGTTCATTCTGTCTCTGCCCCTTTCTCTGTGAAATCATGTGTGATCCCTAGTTATTACACATAAATGTCACTAATTTCAAAAGCACCAAGGTCACCAAGTTTGGGCCCTGGCTTACTTCCATGGTGTGACAGATGCAGTATCCTAAGAGCTGGGTCAGCACTCTGATCACCGGCCTGTGACTATGACTGTCATGAAGGCTGCTGTTTTAGAATCAGGTGGAACTCTTCACCAAAAAGTACCAGCAGAAATTTTTGGCGACTAGATGGGCTGAAGGGGTATGACCCAGGGAATAAGCAGAAAAGCTAACAGACTCGGCTACCCACTGACTAGGGCCAGATATTTGACCTGTAGGGGAAATTATGGACCTGGTGATACTGGAACAATTTCTCCATAGCCTCCCTGAGAATAGAGTCTGGGTGAGGAAGCACCAGCCCAACACCCTGGAGGCTGCAATTAAACTCTCTGAAGAGTTCCTAGAAGCTGACTTTCCCAGAAAAGAGGTCCAGCCACCAAGGGGCCCAGAGCCAGGGAGAAGCGGCAGCAAATTGAAACGCCCCAAGAAGAAAAAGGAGGAGGCGAAAGAAATTCTTTCAGAGAATAGCATGCTATCAACATGGAAGGCCAGGATATATAAAAGAGGACTGATCCAAAATGGAATAAGGGTTTGCACAATTCTGTGGATGAACTGGGATTCTCAAGGGCAGGGTTAAAAAGGAAAATGCCTACTATCCCTATAAAGGCAGGAAGGAGGCATCTAAGGGTGGGGGGGATCATGGATGCTGGCTCAGGATATTCATTGATCTGGGGGGACTTAGTGAAGGTCCACCGGAGGCTCCCAGGGGAGAAGGCAGAGTCAGAACGCATTCATGGGGAGAGGAAACTGCCCAATGGCAGATAAGGTTGTAAGTATTAGAACTGTTCTACTGTACAGGCGTTGGTGGAGGGGACTTGAATAAGCTACATGGAACGGACACCAAAAGAAGAGTCTGAGCAGTTTTTGCAGTGATCCAGGACATAGGGGGATGCACGCTCCATTACATATGGGAAGCAAACTCCAAAGGGACTGACTCTTAGCTAAGGGAGCTGAAGCCCTGGACATGGAAGACTGGATCCATGAAGGCACTCAGGTGCCTACATCCCAGTTTTGGCTCCACTGTGAGCCATAATGCTCTCATCAAATCCTGCAGGCATCTAAACTCACTCTGCACTGAGATTTTCCTGGTAAAAGTTCCCACCTCTGGACATGCATACTGCTGCCTTCCCGAGGCATTCAGATGCCTATTTCCTGCCTAAGCCCAGGGCAATTCACAAACCAGGGAAAGGCAGCCATCTGGCTACCTGACTTGCTCAAGCAGCCTGATCCTGTAGACATGTGCAGAGGCAGCCTACCAGCTCACATCACATTCAAACACCATTCATAGTGGTGGCGCCCGCCTTATACCTCTTAGCCCATTGGTTACAGCACTCATCTAGGATGTGGGAGACCCAGATTCAATTACCCCTC